TATATATATATATATATATATAGATAGTGTTCCAATTATTATCACCTAAAATATCTTTAAATCTGTAACCTGAAACCTCCGAAGTGCCTGCATCTAGACAAAAATTATTATCTATATGATAGACCTTCATGCAATTTTGATTACACAAATTTTTCTCTAGATTCTTATAGAATCTTAAAGATTCGATGATTCATTTCAGATGATAATAATTATTAGGACACTTTGTATATGTGTATATGTATAGTCTTGGCCAAAAATAATAGGCACTTATACTTTTTCACTTATCTAAAATTAATATAGATATTTATTTATCTAATCTAATTTTTGCCTTATTTTGCTTATATTGTTTCTTATTGATTATCAATATTACAAATAAATTTATAGAATTTTTGAAGAATTCACAGCAAATGCCACAAATCAATTTTTAAAACGTTAAATAATGATTATCATAACGATAATTTAACGTTTAAGCATAAAAATTGATTTCTGACATTTACTGTTATTATTTTTATTTAAAGAACGCTTTACAAGCATAAAATAATACGATTTTAAATATTTAAAGATTTTAAATATTTATTTTAATGTTTGATGAAATATTTTTACATTAGACAAATATTTGTTTTAACATTTAAAAAAAGATTTAAAAAAAATGTTACATTATAAATGTAAAAAATTTTTTTAAATGTTTTTATAAATGTTAAATCAAACACATTTATTTAATGTAAAAACATTTTATGAAACGTTAAAATAAATCTTCATTAAACGTCAAATAAGCATTTTTGTCAAACGTAAAAAAATTTTTTAACGTTTAGAAAAGATTTAAATGTTACAATAAATGTTTATTAAACATCAAATAATTATTTATTTCTTTTAAATGTTAAATAAACATTAAAAAAGATTTCTTTAATCATTAAAATAAACATTTTTTTAATGGAAAAGAGGAGATCATTTATTCCATTAGTTTTAACGTTTTTACAAATGTTTCAAAGAACAATTTTTAAATGTTTTTAAAAACATTATTATAAACATTATTTTGCTAATTGGGATTGAGACTGTTGCTAAAAACTTTAATGTAATATTCTTACTTATTGATTCTCATCTTCTTTCTATACTTTTTAAGGCTTGGTCAATTGGAATGTTTGTATCGACGTAATATCAAACGACATAATTTTATAATCTTGTTCAATAGGCATACCATTAATTCTTACAAATTTGAAACTATTCTTAATATATCAAAAAGTTTGGTTAATTTTGTTCTTATCTATAATATCCTTTAAAAACGTTGCAAGATTGAAGAAGAGATTGTTTATGCAGCTAATTCTTAGAGGATAGCCCTCTTTATGTACCTTGATGAGTTCATATGATCTCTCTATAAAAAAATATTTTGTGAATTTCGATCAAAAAACGCTAAGAAATACAACGACGAGTACATATAAAAATATGAATGAAAAATATACATTTAATGAGTGCATATGTAGTAATGGCATAGCCGGAAAGAGTTAACTTTCACAATCTGATATCATGTAGTGTTAAAGAATAATCGTAGTTTTTGTCATAAAAGATTATAATATTTGTAAACTTAATATACTTATTGTTAGAAATAAACATTAATATATACTATGTAACGAGTATATTATTAATGCTTTAACCTTTTCTTTTTTTTGAAAAGTTGGACAATTAATAATTAAATGACGTATTGCTTTTTGAAGAGTAAAAGTCGTTTTCAAATAGAATTTAACTATATTAACTATATTAACTTTTACAAAATAATTACAAAATTTTTATTAATATTATCGTTTTAATTTAATATTTATCCAAATAATAATAACAGCTATTCGAATGGATTACTTCTTTATAAGAAGATAAAATTTTAATCTTTGATGGTTATATGACGATATTTCATCGCATTATGCGACAATTATTTACAGAAATGTAAATCTTTTGTTGCATAATATTCATGTTTGCGTTGCATTTCAAAATTTAAATGTTGAATTATGTTATCACATTTAATAAGCCGACAAGTCGTAACGTAATAATAAAATTTAAATTTTAAGAAAAATTTATTTACTTTAATTTTAGTTTGAAATAATTCTACAAATTATTTTGAATAATGTTAAATATAATTTTTGTACATAATGTAATGATACACATAGTGTCACACGAAAAATCAAATATTACTCTACATACAACAATACATATAAAATAATATATAAAAATGTATATATACATGTGAATAATACTTCATATTCTTTTAATGATAGAAAAATCATCATTCGGTTAACAGTATTCGAAAACTCACCATTATGCCAACCAATCGTTCAGACACGTAGTCAACAACTGACTGAGCAGCTAAGGCCTACTTTCAAACTCTCTCTCTATCTTACTCACTTGATTCTCCTTAACTACTCTGACGCAAAAATACGCGTCCATCTGTTCACTTTGCCAACTACACATACACATCACGTACGCACGAGTATTAATATTAAAATACGCTGACCTTGAAAAGGATAGTGACAAAATAATCCGAAATGTAAGGATTGATATCAACATATTAATTTAGATTAAATTTTTATTCTATAAATATTTATATATAAAACACCATAAAGATTATACTACTTAATGTTTTGATTGTATTGAATATATACAATAAATTGCATGTGTATAATTCTTATAATAATAGATATTGTTGAGTTAGATATAAGTGGATATAAGTGTGATATAAGTGGATATTTTATTTTAATTTAATAATGTTAAAAATTGTTTTGGCTAAGTTGTTCCACTTTTCAACTTACTTGCACCGTCGTTCTTGTTATTTCTCATTCTCTTTTGCTTTCGCTCTTTCTTTTATTCATTAGATAAATTATAACATAATTTGTGTATGAAGATGAAACTATCGATCTTTAATATGATATTTAAAAAAAACAAAAACATGCATTTACACTTGGATAATCTTTTTGATGGCAAGAAGAAGAAAGTTTTCTTTGGATGAGAGGAAAATCATTTCTTTCTTATATGCGTATATCATGTTCTATCTATTGTATGTTAAACATAGTTTATATTAGTTTCTTCTAAATTTATTTTCATTTTTATACTTATTCTCCTTATAATAAATTTTATATTATTAACACATGCATTATTAAATATCATTCAATATCATTATATAGATGTTTGATATACAAAGTTACTAGTGTACTGATTATCATTAAAATAACTCGAATCTTGTGATGATAAGCAGTCTATCGATTGTTGACATTATTTGTGAAGAATTATGAAGGAATAAGTGACATTAATTTTCTATAATTCTCATACTGTTACTAATAACATTATTAATTTAATTTTTATAAATAAACATCGCAATTGGAACTTATTTAGCATATTAATTTTGAAAAATATTATATATATTCTTGTATGTTTAATTACTCAGTTGTTAATCCATTTGATAAGACTAATTGTAAATTTAAATTGTTATTATTGCGAAGTCAAATAGAACATCCTGCTTAAAAAAATGAATAGAACTATATAAGATATTATAAAAAAAATTTAAGAAAGGATACGGGTAATAGGTCAAACGCAGAAGACGTCATGCAAATAATATATCTATGAAGTGTGAAACTTCTTTATTTACTAAAACGTGTTTACATGTTTCGGCTCACTTTTGAGCCTTCCTCAGAGACAACATAAACTAACACATATAAAAACTGTGAATAAAAATTATTCTGTCATGATGAGCTTCTCTACATCGAGAATTTAAATGTCGGAGTTAAAACCAAACAGAATGAAAGGAAAAGGAAAGATAAAAAAGAAAAGAAATTAGGAAATATCGTAAAATATAATATGAAGAATTTATCTAATTCTATTTAACAATTAACTAACAATTAATATTTACTAATTATCAAACAATTTTAAGATTATAATTAATTATCCAGCAAATAAGGACGCTCATCATGTTCACAGAATATCACAAACATTACTAAAAATAATTCAAGAATCGACTCCTGATAATGTTAGTCAGTCAATATTAAACACAGTGAGTCACTTTTTTAGTTAGTAATTTTCCGAGATAACAAATGGAAAAATGTATCATTAAAGCATTAATCAATTCCAAGAACAAGAAAGTTGTCGATAAACACATCAGAAAAACTCATTACTGAGTATGAACGACACTGGCATTGATTGACTAGACGTGACAATTCAAGCCTTTATAGCTTATACTGTACCTATAATTATATTGATTATATCTAATACCTATGATTGGGAGGTAGGTCTTGGGAAGGCCCTCCATATCCGTCTGCAAGTTGAATCCATGCATCTGTCTCCTGATAAATATCATCTCCGAAATCAATCTCTTTCTGTAGTGAAGCTCCTCGTCCAGTATTGTAACATTGTCCCAATCGAAATTATAGCCCTTGTAACCGATGCTCCGTTATGACATTACGAATAGATGTATTCCATCGGATATCGTTCCTATGCTTCGTGATTTTTTATCTTAGCTGTCTACACGTCTGTCCCACATAACTTGCATCGCAACTCTTACAGAGATCTTATAAACAACATTCGACTTCTTGTCACGTAATAAAGGATCCTTATGCACCTTAATGAATTCTCGCAATTTATTAGTACTATAAAACGATACTCTCATACGCTCGCTATTCAATCTATTAAACTTCTCAGTAACACCATAAACGAAAGGAACAGTGAACCACGAAGGAAAACTGCCGAAAACCGAATCAAAGACAAAGTTCTAACCTCCAACTTTCGCATAACTAGATCCGCGATGACGGGGGAACCTATAGGAGTTCTGTAAATTACCTATATATAATTATCAAAAACAAAGAAAATAGAATCTAAAACAAACTGAACCGCTTTGATGAATTTCTTCTCCGGTAAATAATAATCTTTAGAAATAAATCGCCAATGGTCTTTAATACAATTCATCGCATAGTCAATGGGGACGTTAGTGAAAAGGCTCACAATATCCATTGACTTATCTGAAATTCATCACTCAAATGTCTCTACCATCAAGTTCTTTTACAAGTTTAAAACCATTTTCCTTAGGAATTGTTTTTATGATAATATTATGAAGAAACACTGCTAACGAATACAATGGGCTATTTATCGAAGAAACTATTATACGAAAGGGGCAGTCCTGCTTATGTATCTTCAGAAGGGCGTAAGCTCTCGGAAATATCTCATCGTTACTTAACCAGAGAGAAGAAAATTATTATGGCTAGTAATAGGAAGAGTGTTGTTAATGATAATTGAGTTGAAGCAGTACAGTCTTCTTTTCAGTCGTGGTATTACTGACTTTAATAGATTGAATAGTGACCGTACGAAGATATTGTTTTATAGTACTTATAAATTGCAAGAATTCATTAGGGTGCGTTAGGATCCTTTATCGCTTCTTTACAAGAAGTCGAATATTATTTATAAAATCTCGTGTAAGAATTGCAATGCAAGTTATGTGAGACAAACGTAGACAGCTGAAGTTAAGAATCACGGAGCATAGGAATCACATTATCCGATGGAATCGGATCACGTCTATTCGTAATGTCATAACGGAGCATCGGTTACAAGGACTGTGATTTCGATTGGGACAACGTTACAATACTGGACGAGGAGCTTCACTACAGAAAGAGATTGATTTCGGAGGTGATATTTATCAGGAGACAGATGCATGGATTCAACTTGCAGACGGATATGGAGGGGCTTCCCAAGACCTACCTCCCAATCATAGATATTAGATATAATCAATATAATTATAGGTACAGTATAAGCTATAAAGGCTTGAATTGTCACGTCTAGTCAATCAATGCCAGTGTCGTTCATACTCAGTAATGAGTTTTTCTGATGTGTTTATCGACAACTTTCTTGTTCTTGGAATTGATTAATGCTTTAATGATACATTTTTCCATTTGTTATCTCGGAAAATTACTAACTAAAAAAGTGACTCACTGTGTTTAATATTGACTGACTAACATTATCAGGAGTCGATTCTTGAATTATTTTTAGTAATGTTTGTGATATTCTGTGAACATGATGAGCGTCCTTATTTGCTGGATAATTAATTATAATCTTAAAATTGTTTGATAATTAGTAAATATTAATTGTTAGTTAATTGTTAAATAGAATTAGATAAATTCTCCATATTCTATTTTACGATATTTCCTAATTTCTTTTCTTTTTTTTCTTTTCCTTTTTCTTTTTGGTTTTAATTCCGACCTTTAAATTCTTGATATAGGGGAGTTCACCAGAATAAAATAATTTTTATTCACAGTTTTTATATTAATATGTCAGTTTATGTTGTCTCTGAGAAAGGCTCAAAAGTGAGCCAAAATATGTAAGCCAACGTCTTTTAGTAAATAAAGATGTTTCACACTTCATAGATATATTATTTGCGTGACGTCTTCTGCGCTTATTCTTTCCACTTCTCTGATTTATAAAAAGTCTTAGTTTGATTTGTTATATGGATAAAAAATTTAATAACTTTATATCCGATACAGTTGTATACAATTACATCTAAAACGCTAGCGGGATTTTATAACATTTTTTTATATATATATACACACACACACATTTTTATATATATGCAATTAATTATTACAAACATCTAGATCTTAATCGAATCACTCTCAATACAAACAAATTATGGTATTACAAATTATAAAATACGGCAATGATTTCTATGTCATTTTGATTCTTGCATTTGTTCTTTCCTAATATAAACTATTCAAGAAAATTAAACTTCTTCTGATTATAGAACTTATTATAATATGTGTTGCATATAATGCAATATTGTCATAACTTGGTATATATCTGATCATACGTGAAATCGTTAACTGTGTTTTTTTTATATTCGCATTGAAACATTGCATGAAACTATACTTTGAACTGTGTCAGTATGTAAAAAGTATGAATGAAGAATTAAAATAATTTAAATAAATTTTTACGCCAAAAGTTGTGTTATCAATAAATTTAATGCTTTTTTCATAAAATTTATGATAAAAATTTTATTATAGAATATAAATAAATAGTTCACGCTTTAAATAATATTGAAAATGCTGCATTATATGACAAATAGACGAATACGTGATTAATAATTTACATATGTGAACTATTTTCATATTTCGGTCTTCAATGTACGATTGAACCGTTCGACAATTGTCTGTTCAAAGAAAAAGAAAAGTTTAGAAATACGAAAAGATCTCAATTTAACAAATTGAGGTTTCTGGGAACCCAGTATGTATAGTTAGGGTTAAAAGTGCGATAGACATTCGATAACGGTTCGATAGATGTTTGACATTGATTCGTTTTTGACAGTGATTCGATGGACAT